TCTCTTCTGTGCTCTGCTTCCAGGCAATCCTGTTTTGTTCGTTTTGCTGTTGTTGTTTGTTTTGTTGAGACAGGGTTTCTCTATGTAGCCCTGGCTGTCCTGGAACTCACTCTGTAGACCAGGCTGGCCTTGAGTTCAGAGATCCACCTACCTCTGCCTCCCACTGCTGGGACTAAAGGCGTGCACCACCACCGCCCAGCTTGCCTTGTTCATTTTGGACCATGCCCATGTTTCATGAGACTGTCTTAAAAACAAAAACTATTATCAACTCTATCACACCATCATATAATGTTGATTTCTTCTTTACAATTTCTACCTTTTCTTATGAAACTAGTTTTAACAAAACAAATGTTCTCTGAAAACAGGTAACCCCACCCCCATGTACACAGAGAACGCACTGAAAACTTATAAACATTTTAAATTTGAATTAATTTTACTCAGTATATGTCTGAAAACTTGTTTTGACCTAATCAGGAATAAAAACAGCATTTTAAAATTTAATTGTAGCCAGGCGGTGGTGGCGCACGCCTTTAATCCCAGCACTCGGGAGGCAGAGCCAGGCAGATCTTTGTGAGTTCAAGGCCTGCCTGGTCTAGAGAGCGAGATCCAGGAAAAGCGCAAAGTTACACAGAGAAACCCTGTCTCAAAAAACCAAAAAAAAAAAAAAAAAACACCACACCTAATTGTAATGTTTTGTCTGTTCTTATTGTATGTGTATGGGTGTTTTGCCTGTGTGTCTATGCGCCATGTGTCTAGTGCCCTGAGAGGCCAGAAGGGGGCAGTGAATACACTGGAGCTGGAGCTACAGTGTGATCAACCACACTGATGCTGGGGATTGATCTTGGGTCCTCTACAAGAGTCAACTTCCACACAAATGTTTATTATTTCGACAGCTTGGATGTTCTAGCTTAGGTTTATTGGGTGTGTATGTGTGGGGGGGATGTAGCTAAAATTACTATAGTCTTTAAAGAGAAAATTTTGTAGAGAATTTTTGGAATAATTCTGCCATATGCACTGGTATACTATGGTTTTGAATTTTGTGAAAGAATAAGGTCTTTATTTAGTACCTAACTTTCTGCCTATTAAGATCTTAACATGAGATGGGCACGATAGCACACAAGCCAATATTCCTAGCACTTGGGAGTGAGATGAGAGGATTAAGAGTTCAAAGTCAACTTGAGTTACATAGTTTCAAGGCTGGCCTAGGGCTACATGAGACTCAAGGATAAAAATCATAATCTGAACTTCACCTTAATCATCATCATTACAACTCCATTTGATTTAAAAGCCAGCCCAAGTCCTAATGATATTTAAGTTAATGCAAACTTGTTTTTGAAAGTTCATGTTCACTTTCATTAAGGTAAGCTGGGGTGTATCAGGTGCCTTCTGGATTCTGTAGGCATCAGGCATACATATATGCAGGCAAAACATCCACACATACAAGTTTATTTTTTAAAAACCTAAAGCATTCTCAAATTTCACATTTCTTATTTTGCATATAAAAGTTATGCACAATACCTAATCACATTTAAAAATGGAGAGAAATTGTCTTTCAAAAGCCAAACCAAGGCTCAAGCATCCCAAAGTCATGTAATATAAAACTTTTTTTGTTGTGTGAAATACAGTTTGAACCAGTCCGTTTTTAAGACTGAAACTGTGGTCAAAAGGAATATATACTGCTAACACATTCCAGTTCCTTCGTGTGGCCAGTACAAGAAAAGGAAGACAGGGGATTTGCTTTTACTATTCAGAATTTAAGAGTTATTACTACAGCCTGAAGATTAGCTTAAGTGAAGTATAATCCAGCAGGTTTTTACAGAGCTGTGAAAACAGCAGGCAGAGCATTCCCACCCTCCACTAAGGAAAAGGAAACATCCCATTTCCAAAGCACTCTGAAGAGCTCAAGGTAAACCACACATATTTTAGGTTTAAAGGCAATTTTTTCAAGGCAGTCAATTATGAAGTAATTAAAGAGCTCCCTCCCCAGTGCTGGATTAAACCCAGGGCCTCATACGTATCAGGCAAGCACTTAACCACTGAGCTACAAAACTGTGACACTGAACATGGCAGACACCAACGGGAAAGAAATGCTTAGAACAAAATGGAGTTAGCTCGATTCCGCAGCCTCACAGGTTCCGGAGGCCAAATAAAGCAGGGAGGCAGATAAAGCAGAGAGAACAGCTCAAGCAAGGAGAAGGAAAGGTATGACAGCTCACATATCCCAGAAACTGCAACTATTTTGGTTTCAATAGGTGGTAGATTGCAAGACGCACATGGTAGATGGTGGGAGAGGAAGTAACCAACTTATTTTAGGGTTTAAACAATGCTAAGTATGGACACCAGATGAAGGGTTTAAGAAAGGGTATTTGAGAAGGGGTGTGGTGGGGGCATACCTGGGAAAAACAGGGACACAAGACATTTAAGTGAAGATTCTGCACACCCATGCGGGCTTGGTCCTTAACTAGTGAGTACTTAAGGTATTTTAGCATGGATGCTCTACTATCAACACAAGTCATTTTTAGATATTGTATAGATGGAAAATAAGGACAATTTCTATTATCAATATCTGTTATCCAGGCTGACATCCAAGTGTAAAGAATACCATTGCAGGATTAGAAACGTTGACAAGGTTTAACTGACATTTTCAGGTGAAGTAAAATTCCAGACATCACTCCAATAATGCTTTAACACCAACAGAAGGTAGGAAGATATTCAACCTGTGAGAATTCCTATCTGAAGCCCAGCTGTTTAATCCCAGCCCTCAGGAGGCAGAGGTAGGCGGATCTCTGATAGTTCAAGGCCAGCCCGGGTCTACAGAGTGAGTTCCAGCCAAGACTACACAGAGAAACCCTGTCTCAGACAAAAAAGAAGAAAAGAAAAGCATGCAAACAAAAGAATTCCTATCTGCAATATACCATCACACTGCTAAAAAGAGCTAAGAATTCTTTTGGGTGAGTCACATCAGATTCACTGGCCAAGATATTCAAAGAAACTTATTTGAAAAACCACATTTATAGGCCACCTAAAACATTCACTCAAGAAAAGCAAAATTCCACCATTTAAAAGCAAGAGGTGCCGGGTGGTGGTAGCACATGCCTTTAATCGCAGCACTCGGAGGCAGAGCCAGGCGGATCTCTGTGAGTTCCAGGCCAGCCTGGGCTACCAAGTGAGTTCCAGGAAAGGCGCAAAGCTACACAGAAAAACCCTTCCTTGAAAAACAAACAAAAAAGGCCGGAAGGTGGTGGCGCACGCCTTTAATCCCAGCACTCGGGAGGCAGAGCCAGGCGGATCTCTGTGAGTTCGAGGCCAGCCTGGTCTCCAAAGCGAGTTCCA